GTTTTGTTCTTTTCTGTCTAATTACCTTGTCCTCCTCTATTCTGTATCATTTTTCGAGCTCTATGGTTTGTTTTCTTAAATGGTTATTGTTAAACTTGAACGAAGCTAGGTAGCCGTTCGAAGAGCTCGATAATATTTGGTATGTCTAGGTTTTCTTACGTTGATTTTCGTTGGTTGAATTTTTTCCTTTCTCAGATACTTGAAATGTTCTCTTCATATGTATACATACTGTGTGAGCAACCGTGAATACCTGCTTCATTTATCTACTAACAGGTATCACTATTAGTCATGACCACTCATGAGTAGTAATAGTAGTACTAAGGCTCCATTAGTACTGTATGTACAAGTTATTATACTAGTCTCACTACATTGTACTAGTAGCGCTACAGATGCATCAATATGTTATTTATATGATTGCTTGCAGTCTCGCACTGGTTTTGCAAGCCAAGGGAATAATTCAAAGGAGTGATATATTTGGTATTGGATGTAATACTGATAGATGTCATTTTTGTGAAATTTACTCTTATAGGAGTTTATAGCATTCCATAGCAATCCATAGACAGGAGTTTCTGCCTGGCTGGAAATCTGCGTTTCGGTCTGGCTTTTGGTGTCATCAAAACATGGACCAATTGTTTGCATATCAGTCCAAAATCTGCCAAGCAGATTTTTGTTACTTTCCGGTGTGTCTTTCCAATGCTCCAGCATTCTTGCCAGCACCCTTGGCACCTCTTTAGAACTCAATCATCATCAGCAAAACCTGTATTTGTGCTGGAGAAAACCCATTCATTTGGGACATCTCTGGAGCAAGGTACCCTAGTCCAGAGACCTCTGGAGATCTCTGGAGAAAATTGACAGTTTTTTTTACAGCTGTCAAGCTCCACTGGCAGTGTTAGCCCTAAGACCTTAATTAAGGCCTCCAAGCAGGCCAAAGGCCTTAGGGCTTATTTGGACCTTAATTAATTTCAAGTTAAGGTCAAGTTAAGGGTTTAAATACAAAAAAAAAAAAATTCTCTTAATCTACCTCATACACATGCCAGTGCCTTCCAAAATCTTTCTTTAGCACTACTATCTTCATATGCAAGGTCTCTTCACTCTGGTAGGCTGTTTTGCACTATTTACAATGATCCAGATGACCACCTGCAGGCTGCATGCATCCCCTGCCACTGTTTCTTCCAGATTTCTCCTGCATCACTTCCTTGCCACAAAGAAGCCTCAGCCAGGGATGCTGCCACTTTGAATCATGTTGAGGTAGGCTCTTTTCTGTCTTCATGCTCTTTCTGCTGCTTGTGAAGTCACATGCCCTTTCAAATTAAGACTCTTAATTAAGGCTCTTAAGGTCAGCATTGAAGTTAGGTCTTATACCCTTAATAAATTAAGGGCTTAAATTAATTAAGGCTTACATCAGCAAAACCTGGGTAATGGCCATAGAAGCCATAGCAATCTATGGCTTACTATGAGCTCCTATGAGATTACCGTATGCTCGAGCCAGCTGTCAACATTTTGACAGCTGTCATTCTCTCGCCAATGCTATATAAGAATCAGTGCGTTGTCGAAACTTCCCCAATCTCGCCCGACACCTCTAATTAAGCATTGGTAGTACATACTAGTACTGTAGTTATACTACTTACTAGTAGTTTTGTTTATTATCTTAGTAGTTTAAGTAAGTCTACTTAGTATGTACTACCATGAATGCAACAATATATGATTTTATTATAATTATTTGGTCTTTGCTCGAGACTTGAGCGGAATAATTCAAGCAGCCATAT